TCAAACTGGAGCTGACAGAGATGCTTCAAAGGCAAGTGGGGCGACACCTTTGCACATTGCAGCTGAGAATGGCCACGTAGAAGTCGTGCAGATGTTACTTGAAGCTGGAGCTGACAAAGATGCTTCAAAGGCAAATGGAGCAAGGGCTTTGCATCTTGCATCTGAGAATGACAACTTGGAGGTTGTGCGGTTGTTGCTCGAAGCCGGAGCTGACAGAGACGCAGACAATAGGGATGGAGCAACAGCTTTATGTATTGCTGCCGAGAAGGGTCACTTGGAGGTTGTAGCCGTATTGCTCGATGCCTTTGATTTCCAGAACGAGTAAATAGGTGTGATGCAGTCGGGCATGCCTGAGCTGTTCAGTTGAGGTGAATAATATGTTTTTATAGAATAACCACAATGATATGTACGATGTGCCCAAGCATGTCAAGTCAAGAAAAGAAGCATTTTGCTCTTGGTGACTAGCCTCAGACTAGCATAGAAGATGTCATATACTGCATACTGAAAATACATCGTTAAGAGTTCAGATTCCCAAAAGACGTGTTCGCAGTCTTTCAAGTCCGAGTCCGAGACAACGAAACCAAAAAGCAAACGCCTTCCGATTCCACTCGCCCTTCCGTCCCCTCAGGCCGAGGCCGTGAACCGAGCGCCGTTGCAGGGCACCGTGCTCTCGGTCTCTTGGTCTCACGGAGCGACGGGACGTGGGATCCTTCGTTCGACTCGTTTCGGTTCGGATTCGTTCGATGTGTCTGGTGGGTTTGAAGGCGTTATATCAATGGGCAGGTCGTGATGTTCTTTTTTGTTGTCTGGTTTTACTTCAGCGAAGTGTAAGTTATAGCCGTTTATGTGTTATAAGTGCTGAACAAGAAAAACCTTGAAGGGATGTGTGTGTGTGAGGTACAACCCTCAGCATTGACTTGGTGTTATAAGTTATAACCCTGAAAGGAAGGATGTATGATGATGTATGCTTTCTGATGAAAATACAGGTTGATGAAGTCGTTGGCCCGGTCGCTGAAAAGGGCCTGTCAGTTGCAGCTCAGGAGTGTGCTAGCCGCTAATTATTTCTACTGGACAGGTGCTTGAAAGTTCTTGACAGAACGTTTTATGCAATATCAAGTTGTCCATTCTGATCCATGAAGTTGAATACACCCTGAAAGGGGGACAAGCACAGGACGTATGCATTATAATATCTGCAGGTATGTAGATACAAACATCGTAGAAGGACCTACCAGCGACCTACGGAACCGGTGAGGCCATGCAGCACGGTCCTCACACACACCATTCGGCCGGGCCACGCCAGTCACGCCGTGCCATTCAGGCCTGGGTGGAAGGATGCCCGGTGTAGCCGAAAAAGATCGCGCAGGGAAGCGGATGTTGACGTCCCTTTCGGATGATCTTGGAACGCGGTAGTTGAGAAACCAAAACACCATGCAGAGAGGCCATCCTGGAGTTTCAGTGGCCCTTCACCCTTGGATGATTGGGAGTGCCATGCTGGTGCTGAGGATGGGCATCCAAGGACCAGTTCTGTAGTCGGACAGACCTGATGTGAGATGTGATGATTTATGATGATATATTATAGGATATAGCAAAATATTATACATATACACAGTAGGTTTAAGTTTGTGTTGTGGGATTCAGATCCAACCACGCGCTATAGTTTGGTGGCACTCGCTTTAAGTCAGTCTGGAAGTTCTGGCGTCAATGGGCCTCGTTCATCTGTGTTTCTTCAAGACACCATGCACAAAGTGGCGTTTTTTGTCAAAGTAATAGGGCCATAGGGGAAATAAATTGATGCTAGGAGTGCAGGCTGTGGTGCCTTTGTCACATCCAAAGAAAACGGCAATCCAAGACCACTTGGGCAACCCTCCCGATGGGGCATAACTCAACTTTCACCTACAACTAATTTCAATCTACCTTTAGTGCAAAAAAGGCGTATCAAGCTGAGCTGGAGCTGATTTCCGACAGGACACCCCCTCGATTCAGATAACATGTGACTTTTAAAACAATCCAGTTTCCAGCTGTTTCGATGCAGTCAAAGCTTGGCTAAAATCAACGGGCGATCTGTTAATTAATGTTTGTTGGCCATGTCATCCCATGTCAGTCTTTCATGTGAGTGGCGGGACTTCATTCCTGATTTGAAGCACCCTAAACATTGAAGCCATCGGAGCCATGTCTCAACCGCCCATCGCAGATCTTCTCCATGTTGGCCTTTAAGAATGATATCCAATTCTGGAGGCAGAACGAATCCATGAAGGCGCGGTTTTTACATGTTTTTACTCACCGCTTCGCACCTTATGTGTTTGTCACTGCGGTTAGCGGTTAGCACGAAACACAGCGTCGGAGGATTTTGGGACCGATGGGTTGATGATTTCGCAGGCTTTTTGGTGCTCCACACAAGGGATTGTTTTCGAGGGCTTTTGTTTCCACAAGTCTCGTGGAATGCTTATTTTTCTGAGAATGCTTCTGAAACCTGGAATTCAGTTACTTTGCCGTACATGTGTATTATGTGTTGTGGGAATGATTGCATGTTCTTGCCATGATAATCATAACGCATGCAGGAGCTGTACCTAGCATCCTTGCTTGAACTGGCAAGACAGAGAATCATGCTCAACAAGCGGCATTCCCTCAAAACAAACAGCATATCCAACTTGCTGCGTTCCAAACATCAACACCTGCTCTTTTTTAAGCCATGCTGTTTTCAAAGGCAGGCTTCCATCCATTTCTGCCCCACCGACCCCGCGCGTTTTGCCGTGCTCTGTCACACGGACCCGTCCCGACCTGACGCGACGCGACGCGAGGGTCTCTCGGCCCGGAGCATGATCATCTCCTTCGTGCCCGGAGCCCAGTGTGCGGGTGAGGTCTCGACGTGCCCGGGCTCGACGTGCGTTCTGAAGAGAACCAAGGTCTTCCGAAGGGTCGGGAATAAGAGGAGGCGCGAACTGGTGGTCAACTGTAAACTCAAATCCATTTGCATATATATATAAACTATGGCACACAGGCAAGTGGCCGTAGCCCAACGTGAACGGAATTTCTATACCGGGAATCGATCAATGTTAGGACCTTAGGAGTGTGGTTTCGGCCAGTGGAGGCTCCGAAGTGGCCCGAACGCCCTAGGTTCGGTCCGTTCCGTCTCTTGGACCATTTTCCAAATACCAAACAGGTGGGGAGAAGTTCAGTTTCATGATTTTCAGGGAGTGTGCAGTAGGTCCGTCTTTTTCAGCATGATGTAAGAAGGATGGATGAATCAATGGAATTGGGCTTCATTGCAAGGTGCTCAAAGAACATATCGGAGTCCTATAGTCCTATTTCGCTTGCGCATGCGACCGTGCTTACCGTAGTTGGACATTGAGGACTCTCAACACTCCCCAGGACTCTTCCTTGTTGGGTAAACAATTCTGTCCATGCCTCATGTTTAGAATCCCCACAAACCCGGCGACCCAGCGATATGGTTTTCACGCGACGAAAGCCTGCTTGCGACCGGTCGCACCAGGAGTCAGCTGATCACGGCGCTTTACTTGCTGAATTCTCAGGCAAGTCAGCTGGTCAGGTGGGTGGACGACCATCCCCAAATCACTTACAGTATCTTATACAATTTAACACCTTTGATGTGATCTTGCTGCGGGATGTTGATCCTATTCGGATTTCGGAGTGAACACCAGGATACGAAGCTTCCCTGCAGTCCGGAACAGGTTTGCCGGATGCCATTAAATCTGATGTTGCTCACCTTTTGATTTATTTTCCCACGCCCAATCTGGAGTGATAGGATGTCCTTCGACTGCCAGAAGGATCAACGACTAGAGAGAGGATTGCATTGAACAGGAAATTATCATCATTTGTAAACGGATGATTATTACACACATTATGCATTATGCATTATTATGCGTTGCTTAATCCCGACTGGTTGTTGTTGCATCCTTAAACCATTGGAATAATATGGAAGATGTGTTTACCGTCGTGTTTATTCATCTCCATCCACCTTTCCAACAAAGAACATAAATCCACTGAGCTGTTGATACTTTCTTTTTAGCTCATTGTTTGTAGTCACACGATGCCACACACTCTTGTTCCATAAGCCTTATGCAGCAATATGTGGTTTGTTAGTGCAATCACCGCTGTGTGGACCTGAACAAACTCTTGAAGAGTGATGTTTTGTCGATATTTTTCTACAGATCATGGGGTTCTTGGAGGCCCTAGCTATTAGATTGAAGACCTGGAGGTCTTCCTCAACACCCCCAGACCGGACACACTGACCTCACAGGAGACCTCCAGGCTGATCCTTGTCGAGGCATCGACGCGGCACGGGTGATGGCAGAGATCGCTGGCATCATGTTGGATGGTCTTTGTGACAGAGAGATCATGCAATCATCATGAGTCATACTATGAGTCATATGGATAGCTGGTCAAATGTGCACAACTGCTAAGCTTTGAGCTGTGAGCTCATTTGGTTCTGAAGAAGTGTTGTCAGCAGCATGTGGCAGCATGAAATGGTTGAAGCGTTGGGGAAGCGGTCCACCAGGTTGACGCCTGACCCAGGTGACTGAGACCTGACTTGGCCTTGGCTGGAAGAATTGGGGACCGCGGTCCTGCTGGTTGAGTCTGCGGGGTTTCTGAGTAATTATACCTGAACAATGAACGAAGTGGATGGCATGTCCATGCATAGGCCATCGGAAGACCATTTTCCGACGACCAAAGCAGGGTGGTATCCACTTTGCATGTTGGTGAGTCGGACAGCAGTGTAGCCGAGCATGCTCAAAGGAGAGGGATGTAGCATTTGGACAGATGGAGCCAATGTAGTGAACCAGCTTTATTGATTGGACTGAACGTGGAGGGTTCATCGGTGTATTGCAAACTAGCCCAATAGGGTCCACCTATAGCTACCCAGCAAGTTGTCAAGCATTTGAAGCACTTGACTAGAGCTGACATCCCGAGCAACGATGCGGCTGCTTTTCTGCCGGATTTGCTTGCTTGGTGCCACGGCAAGTCCGCCAGCGTCGGAAATCATGTCCCAGCTGGAGACGGTGCAGGTGACCAGGAGCCCTGAAGTACCTTCCTTTCACAATTCATCCTGGACCTCGCCCGTTCCGAAACCGGCCTCGATCTCCAGTCCTTTTGGTCCCCGATGGAAGATCTCCAGTGACCGTTACGATTTCCACCGAGGGATCGACTATTTTGATGAAGATGATACCGAGCTCTATGCCATTGCGGATGGCGTGGTGTTTCAACACCGAGAGTTCACAGATGGTGGTACCACAACAGTGATTGAGCATGAACTGGAAAACCCATCAGATGCCATGTTTCATGACAGAAAGATCAATAAGGTCTTTTCTTACTACAATCACTTGAACAGCCGGACCACCACCGAAGGTCAAGCTGTGCAGAAGGGAGAAGTGATTGGCAGAATGGGCCAAACGGGCTCAACAACTTTCACGCATTTGCATTTCACCACACGCTTAGTGGGTTACTGCACTCTTCAGTACCAAGTGGCCAACAATCGTGTACCAACGGCTTCCTCTGAGTGTGCCACTGGATTTGATCCCGCCGTACATCCTTATCTCTTCGTGGGGGCGGAACCCAGGTTGGGTCTGAAGGAGTTGTATGAAATCCAGCCCAAGAACTCGAGCTTTGCCTTTGCAGTGCGCTACAACACCAGCCGGGGCCACTTAGATTTGGATGTCATTGAGACGGATTTTGGGAAGATTTCCTTCAACACTAGAGCTGGGATATGGGGGAAGCAGACCATTGAAGGCCTGGATGATTTGGATAACATTACAAGCTGGATGTCACTCAATCCAGGAATCTTCCGAAGTACAACGCCGGATGAGATTTACTACGAAATGCATTTTTTCCAAAAACCTGCATATCTTGAAGTGCTAGATATTTATGGAGAAGGCATTCGTTGGAACGCAGTAGGCTCCTCCAGCAGCTCAAGTTCTTCCTCCACCAGCTCAAGTTCTGCAGAGCCAACTGGAGCTGGCTCCTCCACCAGCTCAAGTTCTTCAGACCCAGCTGAAACTGGCTCCTCCACTAGCTCAAATGCTTCAGAAGCAACTAGCACAGCAACTGCCAAAGCCTCGGTAATGGCCAATCTTGCTATGACCGGAGTGCTTTTCGTTTCAATCTCGCTTCAGTAGTAGTGTGACGAAACCTGCCAGTCGCATGTTGAGCAGTCGAAAGTCACTGCTGCCCTGTTTTAAGACGCCCATATTGACTGATCCGTTTGAAGCAGTCGAAAGTGACTGCCCCGTTTCATTGACTGATCCACTGAAAATGACTCACCACAGACACGGATCATGAGAATCCAAAACATAGGCACGGAATAATGCTCCATTTATTGAACTGGTCTTACAATAACGAGGAGGAAGAACATCTTTGATGCACCAGCTACAACCCCTGCCTTTATCACGAGACGAATCCATGGCCCGCACCCTGTGCCCTCCGCCAGATCCTCCTTGACACGGGCCTGGCCTTTTGGAAGCTTCGAAAGGCGGTGAAGGTGGGCGAAGAGTGACCAAAATGCCCCCGTTTTGCAAAAAGATGGGAGAGTTTAGTATAGTTGACTTGCAGAAGTGGCGTGGTGTGGGGTTTTGTGGGACGGAGAGGGAAAGGGGGGTAACGTTTCGTTTGTTGCTGGGATCGACCTTTGGGATTGTAAATTGATGTGTTTTGCAAAAGCTTGGTATGTTGGGGTCTTTGTCTCCCCGAGCACTTTCGGTATGTTGGCGGTAAGACTGTGACACGAGCCAAAAGAGATAGAATCAAAATAGATAAACATAGTGATTTGGATGAATTGGGGTTCGCACTTCTGAAAGTATTTTGTTTCTAGGACTGTTCAGTTCAGAACATCCGATGGTATTTGCCGGAAGAGAAGACACCCCGAAGAGAAGATACCCCTCTGGTATGTCACTATAAAAGGAGTATCCGTTTCCTCTATAAAATGCAGAACCAACGATCCATTTTATAAAACAGACAGTTGGTGAGTCGGTCTGTGCCCAAATCAGAGGTTGGATTCTCATTTTACTTAAAAAAACACACACATGTTTGGTTTGCCTGATGACACGGAACGTTCACTTACCTAAGATAGAAACCCGGTCGAATCATGTTATAAACGGAGCGCTTGTGTTGAAGATTTGATAATGGAATGTAAGGGAGTCATATGGAAGCTTCACAAAATCGTCTTTGCCAGAAGGATGCTCAGGTGGTTTGAACATGTTTGACAATGCAACCTAGGGAACACACTGGTTGTTGATAAAATTACCTTTTGTGAGAATTTGAGACTCAAACAGTGAAAGCATATGAGGAACACCATTTTAGAAGACCTGCACCTCCAGAATTTGCCCTTAGACCCCTAGAAAGCAACATGAGGTACTCGTGTGACTCAGTTTGGATGCTCTTGGGACACCACCAAAAACACGTTTTCGAGCCTTCCAATTCCACAATAACCCTAAAAACATTTAAAGAACGCATCTCGCATAGCCATAAAGTGTCCGGACGCTATCTTGTGCTTGTCATTGGAACCCGGTCCCTTCATTCTTTTAAAGAAACATGAGGTTCAAAACATCTGACAGAAACATATGCCTCTAAGACATCTTCATGTTGTGTAAACATGTGGATTTGCATTTTGTTGTGGCGGCATCCTTTTCCAAGTATTCTATAAACCGTGTTTTTAATGGAAAACCGCAGGCCCAGCAGATTCTATAAACGGGGGTTCCTTTACGTTTATTCAGTTTCGTTCGAACTGATCAGTGACTGTGGTCTTTGAGGTCCAAGACGTCCCGGCTTCACAGAGAGCCGGAACTGTTGGGATCGATGTTCATGTGCCGCCGCGAACGCTGAAACGGCATGTTCAACAGATTGGGCCTCCACCTTTTCTGGAGATGATCAATCCCAAATGATCAGTCAATATGCTGGAATCCAAGCCAGCCAGAAAAGTATCTTTGGTCTTCGGCCAGATCGAGTTCAAGCCGCGCTTCCCCTTTGTCCAATTTGGTGGCCAGAAGGGCTATGAGGAGGCGATCCTTATATATGTGAGTTGTTCATGTTTTTTTTTTTGCATGGTTTGTGTGTTTTCCCCTACCCACGTCTACCCGCATATGATGGCTACTATTAGTTTGACTTTGTGTCACTTGGTACTTGGTTCTCTTCAGTTGTCTCATGTGTTGTTTCTATACATTAAAACATGCAAGATGTCATGTCTACTTACAATCTGACGGGTAACCTAGTCACCTAAGTTTGCTGCATGACACTGCTAGTGTTTTGCATGCAAGTTGGATCATGTGATGCTCCCTCGACTATCCTTACTTCCAACCTTGAAGGGCTCTTACTACTCGTTTCCTCCAGAAGGCATTGTTGTCTCATCACACGGAAGAACATGGAGGAACACTTTAGTTGCTCTAGTCATTCAAATGACTTGTATTTGTATGTCGTGCTTTGCTGCAAGATGCCATGGCTGTTATTAAGATATTAAGGATAGATATCATACTTTGTTGTGTTTGTTCATATGCTTTATGTTTGCATGTGTGTTTGTTCTTTCATGTCTTGCCTTCAAGAATCGAGGATGTGACAGGATGTGTTTCGAGAGTTTGAAGATCTGTTTGCCCGGAATTCCACCTCAGCCAGGCGGGCACAGACAAGTATGACGAGGCGCGAGCCGATTTAAACATGGATGGACGGATCCGCGTCCAACTGGTGCAGCTATTCTCTTTTTCTCAACTGGTCTCCCTTTTGTGCCATGTTTGTTGAACAAATGCTGGTCAACTTGGCCGGAACGACTTGGTACGCTTGGTAGCCCTGGTTGATTGGGGCTGCCAGAACATGAGCATCTGGCAGGAAGCCTTGCGATACATGTATGCGTACCTTGGCTGCCAGGAAGTGCATATCTGAAGCAGTGCAATGCACATCCAGTCTTAAACACCTCCCATAAATGAGGAAGCTCAGGGTGGACATGCGAAAGATGTGGGAATTCTACATCTGGTTTTCCTTGCTTTGCCCTGGTCCCAAATTGGGTCTCACTATTGGCCCTGAGGAGAATGACTTGGGAATGACTGGGTGCAACCAAAGGAAGCCAACTTGACTGGCTCCACATGCGAATCCTTGCCTGTTCAGTTTATGTACTGATGTCCGAGTGTTCCGTCCAGAAAAGCGTGCTCCATGTTCTCTCCCACGTTCAGGTCACCTCGTTCAGGTCACCTCTGGTGTGTTGAACCATCGATTCGATCACCCAGGATCGCACTGCCGCTCTTCTTGGGCTTCACGGTGCGTTCGAGCCTCTATGAGAAGGCCGTTCGACCCCCCCCGTTGGACGCCCTGGATCAGACGCGTCCGCAATGACCTGCGCTTTGTGGACGACAGAGACGGTTGTTGTGCTCAGAGAGAGTCGGCCGTCAGTCAGATGGGTTGGCTTTGTACTCTCCACAGACCCCAAACATCACAGTCACACTCTGACATTGGTTTCAGTTAACTCAATTGCCACGATGGGAAGGAAGGTGAGAAACGGTATGGTGGAGAGTCCGCAATACTTGAAGATGTTTTAACAAA